GGGAAGGTACTATGGTGGTAGTAGTGGGGAAGGTAGTATGGTGGTAGTAGTGGGGAAGGTAGTATGGTGGTAGTAGTGGGGAAGGTAGTACGGTGGTAGTAGTGGGGAAGGTAGTATGGTGGTAGTAGTGGGGAAGGTAGTATGGTGGTAGTAGTGGGGAAGGTAGTATGGTGGTAGTAGTGGGGAAGGTACTATGGTGGTAGTAGTGGGGAAGGTAGTATGGTGGTAGTAGTGGGGAAGGTAGTATGGTGGTAGTAGTGGGGAAGGTAGTATGGTGGTAGTAGTGGGGAAGGTAGTATGGTGGTAGTAGTGGGGAAGGGTACTATGGTGGTAGTAGTGGGGAAGGTAGTATGGTGGTAGTAGTGGGGAAGGTACTATGGTGGTAGTAGTGGGGAAGGTAGTATGGTGGAGTAGTGGGAAGGTAGTATGGTGGTAGTAGTGGGGAAGGTAGTATGGTGGTAGTAGTGGGAAGGTAGTATGGTGGTAGTAGTGGGGAAGGTAGTATGGTGGTAGTAGTGGGGAAGGTAGTATGGTGGTAGTAGTGGGAAGGTACTATGGTGGTAGTAGTGGGGAAGGTAGTATGGTGGTAGTAGTGGGGAAGGTAGTATGGTGGTAGTAGTGGGAAGGTACTATGGTGGTAGTAGTGGGGAAGGTAGTATGGTGGTAGTAGTGGGGAAGGTAGTATGGTGGTAGTAGTGGGGAAGGTAGTATGGTGGTAGTAGTGGGGAAGGTAGTATGGTGGTAGTAGTGGGAAGGTACTATGGTGGTAGTAGTGGGGAAGGTAGTATGGTGGTAGTAGTGGGGAAGGTAGTATGGTGGTAGTAGTGGGAAGGTACTATGGTGGTAGTAGTGGGGAAGGTAGTATGGTGGTAGTAGTGGGGAAGGTACTATGGTGGTAGTAGTGGGGAAGGTAGTATGGTGGTAGTAGTGGGGAAGGTACTATGGTGGTAGTAGTGGGGAAGGTAGTATGGTGGTAGTAGTGGGGAAGGTAGTATGGTGGTAGTAGTGGGGAAGGTAGTATGGTGGTAGTAGTGGGAAGGTAGTATGGTGGTAGTAGTGGGGAAGGTAGTATGGTGGTAGTAGTGGGGAAGGTAGTATGGTGGTAGTAGTGGGGAGGTAGTATGGTGGTAGTAGTGGGAAGGTAGTATGGTGGTAGTAGTGGGGAAGGTAGTATGGTGGTAGTAGTGGGGAAGGTAGTATGGGTAGTAGTGGGGAAGGTAGTATGGTGGTAGTAGTGGAGAAGGTAGTATGGTGTAGTAGTGGGGAAGGTAGTATGGTGGTAGTAGTGGGGAAGGTAGTATGGTGGTAGTAGTTGGGAAGGTAGTATGGTGGTATTAGTGGGGAAAGTAGTATGGTGGTAGTAGTGGAGGTAGAAGGTAGTAGTGGGGAAGGTAGTATGGTGGTATTAGTGGGGAAAGTAGTATGGTGGTAGTAGTGGAGGTAGAAGGTAGTAGTGGGGAAGGTAGTATAGTGGCAGTAGTAGTAGTGGTAATAGTGTAGGGAAGAAAGTAGTAGTGGGGAGGTAGTAAGAGTACGAGAGGCCTGTCAAATACTAAGAAAGATGAGCACTGCAAGGTAGCTAGGTGCCCACAAGGGAGCTAGGTGCCCACAAGGGAGCTAGGTGCCCACAAGGGAGCTAGGTGCCCACAAAGGAGCTAGGTGCCCACAAGGGAGCTAGGTGCCCACAAGGGAGCTAGGTACCCACAAGGTAGCTAGATGCCCACAAGGGAGCTAGGTGCCCACAAGGGAGCTAGGTGCCCACAAGGGAGCTAGGTGCCCACAAGGGAGCTAGGTGCCCACAAGGGAGCTAGGTGCCCACAAGGGAGCTAGGTGCCCACAAGGGAGCTAGGTGCCCACAAGTTAGCTAGGTGCCCACAAGGGAGCTAGGTTCCCACAAGGGAGCTAGGTGCCCACAAGGGAGCTAGGTGCCCACAAGGTAGCTAGGTGCCCACAAGGGAGCTAGGTACCCACAAGGGAGCTAGGTACCCACAAGGGAGCTAGGTGCCCACAAGGGAGCTAGGTGCCCACAAGGGAGCTAGGTGCCCACAAGGGAGCTAGGTGCCCACAAGGTAGCTAGGTGCCCACAAGGTAGCTAGGTGCCCACAAGGGAGCTAGGTGCCCACAAGGGAGCTAGGTACCCACAAGGTAGCTAGGTGCCCACAAGGGAGCTAGGTGCCCACAAGGGAGCTAGGTGCCCACAAGGGAGCTAGGTGCCCACAAGGGAGCTAGGTGCCCACAAGGTAGCTAGGTGCCCACAAGGTAGCTAGGTGCCCACAAGGGAGCTAGGTGCCCACAAGGGAGCTAGGTGCCCACAAGGGAGCTAGGTGCCCACAAGGGAGCTAGGTGCCCACAAGGTAGCTAGATGCCCACAAGGGAGCTAGGTGCCCACAAGGGAGCTAGGTGCCCACAAGGGAGCTAGGTGCCCACAAGGGAGCTAGGTGCCTACAAGGGAGCTAGGTGCCCACAAGGTAGCTAGGTGCCCACAAGGGAGCTAGGTGCCTACAAGGGAGCTAGGTGCCCACAAGGGAGCTAGGTGCCCACAAGGGAGCTAGGTGCCCACAAGGTAGCTAGGTGCCCACAAGGGAGCTAGGTGCCCACAAGGGAGCTAGGTGCCCACAAGGGAGCTAGGTGCCCTCAAGGAAGCTAGGTGCCCACAAGGGAGCTAGGTGCCCACAAGGGAGCTAGGTGCCCACAAGGGAGCTAGGTGCCCACAAGGGAGCTAGGCACCCACAAGGGAGCTAGGTGCCCACAAGGGAGGTAGGTGCCCACAAGGGAGCTAGGTGCCCACAAGGGAGCTAGGTGCCCACAAGGGAGCTAGGTGCCCACAAGGGAGCTAGGTGCCCACAAGGGAGCTAGGTGCCCACAAGGGAGCTAGGCACCCACAAGGGAGCTAGGTGCCCACAAGGGAGCTAGGTGCCCACAAGGGAGCTAGGTGCCCACAAGGGAGCTAGGTGCCCACAAGGGAGCTAGGTGCCCACAAGGGAGCTAGGTTCCCACAAGGGAGCTAGGCACCCACAAGGGAGCTAGGTGCCCACAAGGGAGCTAGGTGCCCACAAGGGAGCTAGGTGCCCACAAGGGAGCTAGGTGCCCACAAGGGAGCTAGGTGCCCACAAGGGAGCTAGGTGCCCACAAGGGAGCTAGGTGCCCACAAGGGAGCTAGGTGCCCACAAGGGAGCTAGGCACCCACAAGGGAGCTAGGTGCCCACAAGGGAGCTAGGCACCCACAAGGGAGCTAGGTGCCCACAAGGGAGCTAGGTGCCCACAAGGGAGCTAGGTGCCCACAAGGGAGCTAGGTGCCCACAAGGGAGCTAGGTGCCCACAAGGGAGCTAGGTGCCCACAAGGGAGCTAGGTGCCCACAAGGGAGCTAGGCACCCACAAGGGAGCTAGGTGCCCACAAGGGAGCTAGGTGCCCACAAGGGAGCTAGGTGCCCACAAGGGAGCTAGGTGCCCACAAGGGAGCTAGGTGCCCACAAGGGAGCTAGGTGCCCACAAGGGAGCTAGGTGCCCACAGAGGGTAAGAACAAGAACACATAGGGGAAGGGGGAAATAATGAAGGAACAAACACCCAAGTAAGAAAGACGACAACCCAAAGGCAATAGAGGAAAGAGGAAATGGGAAGAGCGAGAAGAGAAAGGAATCAAGTTAAGATAAGATTTCGTTCGGATTTTTAACCCCGGAGGGTTAGCCACCCAGGATAACCCAAGAAAGTCAGTGCGTCATCGAGGACTGTAACTTATTTCCATTGGGGTCCTTAATCTTGTCCCCCAGGATGCGACCCACACCAGTCGACTAACACCCAGGTACCTATTTGCTGCTAGGTGAACAGGACAACAGGTGTAAGGAAACTTGTCGAAATGTTTCCACCCGCCGGGAATCGAACCCGGGCCCTCCGTGTGTGAAGCGGGAGCTTTAGCCACCAGGCCACCGGGCCACCGAGTGTTGTGAAGTATGGAACATCGTACAATGTAGTGAGAGAGGAAAACATCTCAAGACACAAAACCACCAGTAAAAACTTTCTGACCTTCAATTTTTCTTAAGTTTATAAGGTTATCAATCAGAAATAACGAAGGTAGGCTAAGTAGACTTACGATAACTCCTAGTGACGTAAATATTAATAAATTAACACGCTCATTTCCTTGTTTTTGCTGTCAGATCCGCGAGTGTGTGTGCATTGTGTGTGTGTGTGTGTGTGTGTGTGTGTGTGTGTGTGTGTGTGTGTGTGTGTGTGAGTATGAGTGTGGGGTGTGTATGAGTGTGAGTGTGTGTATGAGTGTGTGTGAGTATGAGTGTGTGTGCGTGTGTGTATGAGTTTGTGTGTGTGTTGTGTGTGTGTGTTTATGTGTGTGTGTGTATGAATTTGTATGTGTGTGTGTGTGTGTGTGTGTGTGTGTGAGAGAGAGAGAGACTCAGCAATCAACATTTGCACCAATAACTCACTACAGTTGTGACCGGGTGTGGAAGTGTGAATTGCTCATTACTCTAAAATTTGTTCATGATTGCAGCCATGTATAAACGTAAGTAACCATTCTTACAGTATTCATTACCTTTGTAACTTGTGAGTTCATTACCTTTGTAACTTGTGAGTTCATTACCTTGTACCTAGTTCAGCCATCAAAACTTTGGAGCCCGGTCCCTGGACCCATTGTGTACCTCTGTAATCTGTAAATACCTTTGTAACTTGTAATGATTGTGACTAGACCTACCTGGAGTTCATTACCTTTGTAAATTGTGAGTTCATTACCTTTGTAAATTGTGAATTCATTGCCTCTGTAACTTGCTCAGCTATCAAAACTTTGAGGCCCAGTCCCTGGACCCATTATGTACCTCTGTAATCTTTTGACTACCGCCCACAGGATGGGTATGGGGTGCATAATAAACATATTAAACTAAACGGTATATTGTTGCTCCTTTAACACCACTCTCGAAGACTGTATGTATTGTATCATGGAAATAATGTGGAGGTGGAGAGTACATCTTCCTAGGCACTAGTAAGACTCACCCAACACGTCTGAGGTAGTGCCAGGCACGGTCGATGTAACCCCCGTCACAACCATTCTGACCCAACTTGGCACAGCTCAGCAGGTTCTGTGCAGACAGCTGGATGTTCGCCAACCCCTTGGCCACGATGGAGATTCTGTGGTACATCAACTTGTCTATATATACCAGAAATAACGAAATTAACTATTTTCTGTAAATGTTGAAAGTTTTTCACACAAAAATTCATACATACAATATATGCAATAATACATTAATATATACAATAATGCACAAATATATACCATATGCGTAGTGTACTGACACACACAAACACACACACACACACACACACATATATATATATATATATATATATATATATATATATATATATATATATATATATATATTATATATATATATATATATATATATATATAATGTCGTGCCGAATATGTAAAACTGGTCAATTATCAAGAACTCATTTAAAATTAAGTTCTTTCTAAAATTTTCTCTTATACGTTTAAAGATATATTTTTTCATTAATGATAATGTAAACATTTTTAATTTTGCTCCAAAAGAATCTTAGAAAACTTACCTAACCTAATTATAACAAGAACAATTTATTTTAGCCTAACCCAACTAAATATATTTTAAATTTGTTTACAATAATTTAATACTAAACAAACACAGTGAAATATATTTTATTCGTTAGGTTCAGAATGATTTTGGCGAAATTATTGCATACACAAATTTTCACTTGTCCTATATGGCAAGATGAGCGTTGCTATTTAAGCCAAGATCGCAAGTTCTGCCTATTCGGCACGACATATATATATTAGTGTGACCACAGACGAGTGACATTTAATCAATAACAACACTGCGGCTAGCCCAGGATTCATACTCATGTCGTTTTGGCCCGCCTCATGGTAAGCGAAAATCACATAACGCTCTAACCCTCAGAACCAAGCAATCTTACAGGAATGTGACTGCTGGGTACTTGATTCTTGTAGGATTGCTTGGTCTTGTGGGTTTGAGCGTCAGGGGATTTTCGTTCACCGTGAGGCTGTTGTCACACTTAAACAGTCATGATAATGTGCAAATTATAGGTGACCTTGAACCCACACATATCTATGGAGGTGTCCTTGATCTGTGCCTGGGCTTCAACATTACTTCTGCCAGCTGTGAGTCTTCCATTGTAACAGATATATCATCTGATTATTTCCCAAGGCTAACCTCTCTAAATATTGGTAATTATATCCTTCTTTGTGGGATATTCAAACGGAAACGTTTTAAAGTTCCCCCTGATCAGCATGACGACTTTGTTGCACATGTGACTGACTGGTATAATTCCTATGAGTGTACCTTTGTCGAGACTTTTAACAATGACCTTGTGAGCAGTATTCAGAACTTCTTAGAACCGCCTCTGAAACCTCCTACTACTCTAAATCCAAATGACTTCCATAATAATCATAAGTCTTATAAAAACCATACCTATTACAATGATTCTAAACTTCGAACATTGAAACGTACTGCTCGCAGACTAGGCCTAGCCTATAGAAACCATCGTACCCCTGAAATGCTGAGCCTCTTCCAAACTGCCCTTGCTACTGCCAGAGAGCGTATTACAGAGCTGCGGCAAACAGACTGGGAACAATTTGTCAATGATCTCATGTTCACACCTCACTTAGCCGGGCATGGAGGGACTTAAATAGAATTAAGGGTAACAGAACTGGGCAGATCGCGCACCCTCATCCCTTACATAGGGCGAATGAGTTAGTCAGTGCTTGGGCTGCTACATCTAGCTATGATAATCTTCCCAGTACCACACAGGCGAAATTAATGGACAAATATGATGCAAGGGAGAGACTAATTTGTTTTATGCTCAGCAAGGAAGATGGCTGTAACTTTCCTTTTACTAACTTTGAACTTGATGCAGCACTAACAAAGGGCAACTCCACGTCGCCTGGTGAGGATGGTATTGCAACATACTCAAACTGCCAACAGCCTCATTATTCCTATTCCAAAGCCCGATCAACAAAACTCATTTCGCCCAATATCTCTACTAGGATGATTCTTAATCATCTCATGTACAGAACTGAACAATTTTTGTCTCCCCGGTTGCATAGCTTCATGCATGGAAGGAGTGTGCATCATTGCATTACCACCTTTCTCACTCTGCACACTGACAACTTATACACTACCTTCCTTGACCTTAAATCCGCTTTCAATGTAGCCAACCGACATGTAATCATCAGTGAACTTGCCAGAATGGATGTTGGAGGATGGCTTCTCCGCTGGATTAAAGGCTACCTGTCTAACAGAAAGACTTCTGTGTTGTTCCAGGGACATAGAAGTATAACTAAAGACTTTGAATTAGGAACCCCACAGGGAGGTGTGCTCAGTCCCACCCTATTCAATATTCTAATTAATGCCTTACTTAATGCTATGCCTAGCCAGCCCCATCATTATATGATTAGTTTTGCTGATGATATAATGATTCACACCACCGGATTCTCCAACACCCAAAACATCCTTAACCATGTACTAGCCTCGTGTCAGGACCTGGGGTTGATAATCTCTACTGATAAAACAAAGATACTCAACAGGCGTCCTCCTCGACAGAGAGGCACAGTTAGTCAGATCCAGTTGCATGATGGGTCTCTTCTAGAATATGTAAGCAAATACAGGTATCTAGGCTTTGAGGTTCCACTGCTTGGACCTGCTGTAACAAGACTTTGTCGCCAATACAAAGAAAGACTGAGAGCACTTAGAGTTGTGGCAGGTTTTCATCCCAGGTATGGTGCTAATGTTAAAATTGTGAAAATTATGTATCTTGTTTATATTAGATCATTGGTTGATTATGCAGCGCCACTACTTGCACTTGTGTCTGACTGGAAGCTTGGAGGGCTGGAAAAACTGCAAAACGAAGCAATGAGGATCATTTTAGGATGGCCTCGTACTGCCAAAATTTTAAATATGCAAAAAGAACTTGATATTTCAAGCATCAGAGATCGTGTTACTGAAAGAAATATCCTCATTAGGGCCAATATGCTTAGGTTAGCCCATTCAAACCCCTGCACAGAAGCCCTCCAAACTTTCCTCAGCACTGGTAAACATCCCTCCAGATGGATCGAGAAAACTGGAACCGACCTCCGCATGAACCAGCTACATGATCTATGTCAGGTAAGGCAACAGAGGCACTTCCCTGCTCCATGGGATATTACCCCATTCCAAACTACCATTCCTCCATTCCTCCCAAAACTCTTCTTAAATAACAACCAAAGCTTCGTCTAAGAGCCAAACATTTACGTTGATGGTTCTGTTCACCAATCCACTGGTGCAGCTGGTAGTGCTGCTGTTGTCATACAGAGTGAGGGTTCTCATAAAGAAATTGGAGCACGCATCGATAACTGGGCCTCTACTCTTCAAACAGAACTGTTTGCCATACTCTTTACACTCAAATGCGTCCATGTATCTAAGATTGACACTTTAACTGTAACTGATTCTCTGTCATCCATAAATGCTCTCAACTCATTAAGTATAGTTTACTGTGGCATGCTTGTGTCAGAAGCCAGACACAGGTATGGTAAGATTGTGGACAGTGGAATCAGAGTGCACATGCTGTGGATTCCATCTCACATTGGTCTTCAGATGCATGATAGAACTGATGAATTGGCTAAGCTGTATGCTTTCAAAGATGGAGTAGATTATAATCTTGGGTTGTCAGTTAGCAGTTTGAGAACAATAATACGAAAAGAACTTCAACTGAACTTTATTGACTTAAGACTTAGGGAGACTGACACAAGTCAGTCCATCTATCATCATTCCATCATGCAGGAGGAGCCACATGTCTATGGTGCATCCAACAAAATAAGCCGACTCTTGGATGTCACTACCGCCCGGCTCCGGCTGGGTTACAAGTATCTTTGGCAGGTTAAATCACCACCACCAGATGTAGACCAAACGAAATGTAAACTTTGCCAGATGGACTATTGTCACACCCTGCGTCATTATGTATTGGAGTGCGTCACACCCTGCGTCATTATGTACTGGAGTGCAATAAAATTAATGAATTTAGAGACAACTCACTCAGAAATGTTCAAGATATGGCAAAGTATTTTATCCACAGTGGTATATTACAGACCATTCTGGAAAAAATACCCTAACTTTGCTCCCTGTAAATAAAGCATTACCACGTGTGTGTGTATGTATGTGTGTGTGTGTGTGTACTCACCTAATTGTAGTTGCAGGGGTCGAGACTCAGCTCCTGGCCTCGCCTCTTCACTGAGTGCTACTAGGTTCTCTCTCTCCCTTCTCCATAAGCTTTATCATACCTCATCTTAAAGCTTTGTATGGCTCCTTCCTCCACTACCTTACTTACTAGGCTATTCCACTTCCTGACTACTCTATGACTGAAGAAATACTTCCTAACATCCCTTTGACTCATCTGAGTTTTCAATTTCCAATTGTGACCCCTTGTTTCTGCGTCCCATCTCTGGAACATCTTGTCTCTGCCCACCTTATTTATTTCTCGCAATATTTTGTATGTCGTTATGATGTCTCCCCTAACCTTCTTGTCCTCCAGCGTCGGCAGGCGTATTTCCCTTAAACTTTCTTCGTAGGACATTCCCCTTAGCTCTGGAACTAGCCTTGTTCAATTCAATTCAATTCAAAGTTTATTCTCTATAAGGATTACAATGCTGAGTTTACAGAATTTGGTTATTGTGTGGTTTACATGTAGTAAAATAATAATTACAGAGTGTACCACTAGAACACCTAGCATGGCTAGGCATTTCGGGCAGACTTAGATTAAATCTTAAGTTTAAAATATTACAAAATTATGAGGTAAGTTGGTATTATGGCTAAGTGACTAAATACTAGTTTGTGAGTTTAGCAATGTGAATGCTTTTGTTTTGGCACTATACATAGTTTCAGTATTGGAGTATCACAGGCCAACTTATGATTAGTTAAGATTCATTATTTTGAGATTGAGATTGATATTTCTGTTTATGGTCAAATGGGTGAGTGAGTGTAAGTGTGAACCACCAGGTGGTATTCGTGTAATTAGTTGACAGGGTGTATCAGGGAGATAAGATGTTTTCTGATGGTAGTTTTGAAGGTGATGAATGTGTCTGCAGTTTTAGAATTTTCAGG